TGTGACTTTTCCGCTAGGAGAATTGCGATGTGCGGTCACATTTCAATCAGAGTACAGAATCCACGCTTGCTTAGGAAATTATTAGTGGGAGACGCTTCACTTGCCCAAGCAGAAATGAGTTGCAGCCAAACAACTTTCACCTACGAGTCTAATCCTGCTTTCGGTGACTGGTACCTTCATGGAAAGACCGGCGTGCACAATTTTAAACCAGTTATCAAATGTACCGGCGTAACTAAGGAGTAAAGCGCGTCGCCTAAGCGGTTACACCATAATTGCCACATTGATTTCAACTAAAACCATAATCCTATGCTGTCTTCAGATGCTGCTTTGACCTTAACCGAAATCTGCACTCCCTGCGGTATCCTATCAGACGCTTTGTGTGGTGGGGTCGTTATCAACTGTATTCAAACTTATGGTTGCTTTACCTCGACGGCTTGCATCTACCTTAGTGGCAACTATATATATATATATATATATATATATATATATATATATATATATATGGCGGAGAGCCTATGGTGCGCTGAGGCTGGTGGTGGCTAGATTCTGACAGCTGGTCTATCCACTTTGACTCCTTGGAGGCGGTGTATGGACCGAGACTGGAGCCGCTGAGGACACTGATCGATGGTAGTTCAGGCGCTACCTGCACCCAGACTGCAGACATAATGCAGGTCTGGCGACAACAGTTTGACTGCCTCTTGAACAACCGTTCAGAGATCGACTGGCCTACATTGAATGGCCTGAAGCAGCACGATGTGAAGGCGGATCTGGCGGATACGCCGAGACTGGATGAGACGCAGAGAGCACTTGCTCAGCTGCGAAATGGCAAATGTACCGGAGGCGACGGGATCCCGCCTGAAGTATTGAAACATGGCAGACCCGCGATGGTGACTGTGTTGCATCACTTGGTGCAACGTGTATGGATTGAGGAGGAGGTGCCTCCTCAGCTGAAGGATGTCTTGCGCTACCACTGTGCAAGAGTAAAGGGAGCAGGCAAGGTTGCACGAATTATCGTGGCATCAACTTGCTGAGTTGTGTGGGCAAGGTGATTGCCCGAATCCTGCTCAACCGCCTCGTCAGTCAGGTTGTGGAATCTAACGTGCCGGAAGAGCAGTGTGGATTCCGTTCGGGTCGCAGCACTATAGATATGGTGTTTGCGGCCAGTCAGTTGCAGGAGAAGTGCAGAGAACGACAACAGCCAGTGTACTCGCTTTTTGTTGATTTCACCAAGGCATTTGATTCGGTGAACCGCGAGGCATTGTGGCTGGTGTTGGGTAAGTTTGGTTGCCCGCGTAAGTTTGTAAGTTTAATTGAATGTCTGCACAGTGGTATGCCAGCGAGGGTGCAGCTGAGTGGAGAGACCTCGGATGACTTTGCAGTTGTCTCTGGTGTGAAGCAAGGCTGTGTCTTAGCTCGTGCCCTGTTTAATATATATTTCCATGCAATGTTGTCCTGTGCTTTTGATGTGGCTTGTGCTTACGGTGTTCGTGTGGAGCACCGTATTGATGGTGGGTTGCGGAACATCCGTCGTTTCGGTGCGAGAACGCTAGTCTGCGAGACAACTATCCGTATGTTGCTGTTTGCTGACGACTGTGTGTTGTTTGCACCCAGCGCGATGATTTGCAGCATATGACTGGTGATTTGGCTTCGACAGCGGCAAAATTTGGGCTCAACATCAACACAAGCAAAACTGTCTGTGTCTTTCAGCCTTTACCGGAGGTGCAATCTTCAATATTGCCGCGAATCAGTATTGGTGCTCAAGTATTAGAAACCACCTCCCGCTTTTGCTATCTTTGGAGTGTGATGTCGACTGGTCAGCAGATACACAGTGAGCTGCGTATCTGCGTGTCGAAGGCAGCGGCGGTGTTATATGAGCCGATGAGCAAGCACAGACACATACAGATCGATTGACCGATAGCTGATTCGTCCACTCTTTTTCCTTGTGTTGATTGGTTCCTTTTCGACTTATTCATCTGGTGTAACCTACAAGCTATCTATTACAGTTTTTGACACGTCCTATCCGGTGTGTGTTCTTATTCACTTCTTGCGCGGACTAAGGGTTCAGGTGCGATCCAGCAATACTCGAGTAATACGTATCAGGCGGCATTCGGAAAGCTTGAGTACCGAGTGTGGAACAACCATCAGCTTACCATTGGCGCGGAGCTGATGGTGTACAAATCCATGGTGCTGTCCGTTCTTCTATATGGCAGTGAAATATGGACGATGTACCAGCGGGATGTGCGATATCGCGAGCGGTTCCATCAGCAGTGTCTGCGACGGATTTTGCGGATCGGCTGGGGCGCCAGGGTTGCGGACACGGAAGTGTTGCGCCGAAATGGGATGTATGCAGTGGACTGCATACTTTTATTGAGACATCTGAGGTGGCTCGGTCATGTGAGCCGTATGGATTCAACACGGATACCGAAGCAACTCTTATATGGTCAACTGAGTATTGGGAAGCGGCACGTTGAGAAACCAAATTTACGTTACCAGGACATGATGAAAGTGAGCCTCACACGTTCTAATCTTGATTTCAGATCATGGGAATCGAAGGCGGTTGATAGGCTTGTATGACGCAATCTGATCACGAAGGCAGTTGCCGAGGTGCATGCGAGAGCCCTCATGCATGCAGAGAAGAAGCGGCAAGTGCGGAAGCGGCGAGCACCGATGGGTTGTTCTCCATCGACATCAAGCGCATGGTGCTCTAGCACATGCGGTCCTGAGTGTCTTAGTCAGGTAGGCTTAGTGATCCATGAGAGAGGCCACTCGGGACTACTACTAAAGCGAAGACGGTCCTGCAGAGAACGTAGGCAGAACCAGCGCAGCGTCTGTAGGTACGCTGCATTCGATTTACTAACCACGTGCTTGCATGTTAAGTCTCTTTATTTCAGGTGGTGGGTTTTCAATTTTGCCTTTATGCTTTTCTTTCTCATATAAATGTCTACCTGTACTATATTCCAGTAACTTGCCCACCTCGTTTAAGCCAATTTATTCGATTTCCATAACATTTTTGTGTTCGTGGCACTTCCGTAAAGCATACTTTCTGACCTCGTGTTTATGTCACCCTTTCTTTAGTGCATTATTCGGGTTATTTTCTTTGTATCTCTCTCTCAAGTGATTGATTATTGTATGATATCCCCGGTGTGGCTGCGCTTGATATGCATGTTGACAAGGTGCTTACCTGTCTATTACCCGCTGCCTCGTCCATGCTGGCTCCAGGAGACAGTTGGTGGTTGCTGGAGGGGACGGGGTGCACTGTCCTTGTGGCCGTGTTAGGTGAAAGAGTGGTTCCATGCACTCAGTGTGGAGCGGATTACGGTCCAGCCACCGCCTTGTGTGCGCTTGATTCCCAAATATAGTGTGCTTGTGTTTGCTGTGAAGGAGTGTGGGCCGGCTCCGTTGATGAAACGTGGCTCCGATCCTCATACCTCCCTGTCTTATTCCTTCGGGTTTACACTGGATATGGCGTATGTGGTTGGAGCTGTGGGTGGTGCAGTGCAAGCCATCCATGGTCCCTCTGTAGGCGCAGGCGTCCTGTGGCTTGCCACAGTGACAGGCAAATCCGAAACCGGATGCCGACAAATATATATATATATATATATATATATATATATATATATATAATGTGTGTTGTACCGCAATGATCCATACTTGGCCCACTACCGTTTTTAGTCTAAATCAATGACCTTCCAGTAAACGTTCTATCCCCGATGCAAATATTTGCAGACGATGCTAACGTCTGGTGAGCAATTTGCTTAGCATTCTACTGTGTCTATCTTCAGGAAGAACAGGTTCGTTTTAACGAATAGGCAGAAACGAACCGGCTCCCATCGAACGGTGCAAATTACCACATGCTGGCGGTGCGTACAGCTTCATAAACACATGTGCAACACGTGCTTAATGAACGCGACTTAGGGATAATCGTGCAAAGGAGTCTTGACAGTTCGCTCCAATATTTGAAAGCCGCAAGTGTAGCGAACTTGAGCTTGAGATCTTTTAGGCGAGCGCTCCGCATCTTTGAGCGACGGCTAGTACTTATGCTGATTAACTTCTATATTCATCTTCACGTTGAATATGCAATTCAGGCCTGTTGTCCATGATTAAAACGATACCCTGGCCTTTTGGAGCCACCCCACAGAAGAGCCATGAAGGCAACGCGTGGGTTATCCGGTCTAAGTTACGAGCTGCGTCTTCGTTTACTCGGTGTGTTCTCCTCAGAATACCGCCGGCTTCGCGAGGATCTCTTCCCCACATACCGGATACAAACTGAAAGCGAGCACCCATGTACATCACTGCTGACCCTAGTCCATGGCAAACAAAGCCGAGGCAATCACCTTAAACCAATGACACAATACTCCTGTTTGAATTGTAGAATTTTTACTCACTTAGAATATGTTCTCACTGGAATGCGCCAGACGTGGTGACATTTGAGAAACATCTAGACTTCCATCTAAGTGATAAACGCTACACAACAGTCTGATAAAGTGCAATGGTTTAACCACTGATATTTCAGGTTTCCCGTTGTAACATTTTGATTTTAATCTTCCCTTGCACATCTATCCTGCAGGTCTTGTAAAGTTATGCTTTTTATCCCGGCATACACTGTTGCACTATGTATGTCGCTGTTCTATTGATCAGCTGTTACTTTTCGGTGCATAATAGGCACTAATTGGATGCAGTTAGCGCTTTGGTGGTTGAGCTCAGCAAACTGGTTTTCTGACGTATTATCTCTTCATATTCGGAGATATAACCAGACACATTGATGTATCTGGTCGTCCATTCGATGTGTACCACCTGTGGCACCGACACTGTCTCATTCAAAACCAACCCCCAAAACAAATTGACAGCTGACTGAGGAGGCGCTTTTACCGAGCAATGTTGGGGCTTCCTTAGGAACCTCGAAATGCGAGTGAGTTGTTCCATTTTCTCTACTGGGTTCCTTCAAAATATGTCAATTACTCTAAAAAAATATATCTCGTGGATAACCTAAGACAAGTTGTCAGAGGTAATTCAAATATTGAGATTCCTATGACCAGTAAAACAATAGACGTTTTAAGTGTACAAAGAAATCTGGAAGAGATTCCGTAGCTGTTTGTTACATGGGGAAGAGGCGCACCACACTGTTGCCAACCCGTGTGCATATTCCGGATCACTATAGATGGAAAATCAAATCAGTGATGAATGATAGTGCTGTACATGGACGGCGATGTCATCTGATGGAAACTAATCGGTTCGCGGGAACATATCCGACCTTCTTTTGTGGCAAAACAGAGACCTTGAACCATTGTGTGTTGCCCGAGTTGTCTCGGTCCTGCAACAGGGTAACCAGTTGTCCGACTTCCATGCTCACCTCGTTTTCGTCGCGTGCGGTATACGCATAGATGGCTTTGTGAGTGGCGTTCAGATCGGCACTAGCTCCCATAGCCATTGACCGTGGTCTCGCTTTACTGGTTCCTGGAACTTCTAGTTCAACAAATCCGATGCTTCTGCGGCCGGCATCGAATGAACTGGATTTCTGTGATTTAGAGATAAATGCACGGAGATCAATACATGAGATGAAATAAACTACTCTTCCTCATGAGTTAGGCTCTGTACAGTGAACAATGGTAAATTTCAGCTACGCTAGGCTCTTAAGCCTTCCTCGGTTTCCCCAATGCATTCTCTGCCATCGTTATTGTTTTGAAGTGTCAAGTCATGCTTATATATAGAATGGACTCATACAGCCTGTGGGCCTTTTGATGGAGTCGACGCACTTGACCACAAGCTCAAGTGGGAATAAAACCACTGGAGTACCGGTTGCTTGCACATAACATTGCATTGTCAACATTTGTTGGGTAGCTGTTCAGAATGACCGTTGCAGCTCTTTCCTGAATAACTACTATACTTGCTGGCTGCGATAGATCGGCGTATCTCATCCAAAATTTTTATATACAGAACAAATTTTGAAGTGAACTGTTTTGTTCAGCTAAACCACCGTCACGGATGTTGTTACTATCTTTAGTGACAAGGCTTACGATGACATAGCAACCAGCTACCTTGCCTGTTGCTTTCACAACCGCGCAGGACACTTTTGGTTGACATCTCGTCATTCAACTTAGTCATTTTTGGGTATTGGTTATCCAGTCCCAATGCTGCGTACTTTATTACTTCGTCTCCACATAGCGTAGATATTTCAAAGTGAGGTCATCTTGGTTCGACAAGGGAAGTATCGAGTTGAACGGTAACTAATTTAGGTTTTTGGAGCAGTATCTGTGCCTAAAGTTCTCTGATATTTTGTTCCTCCGCAGGTAATTTTAGAGAATGATAACTTTTGCTTGTTTTTGTACACACCGGTTAAATGAAATTCTTTTTATGCTTACTACTTCAATAGATTCCGCAGTCAATTCATTTAGCATTTTTTGGCCTGTAGTCCTACTGATCACAAGCCTGCCTTAGAATCTGAGGGCGCAGGTTCGAGCCTGCGTTGGGCCCGGGCGAACCCCGCAGTATCCTTAATCCACGTGAGATTGGTGGTGGTTGCGCGGCACCTAAACGTCGGTGCTGCATACCGGCGTACTGCTGATGCCTTTCCCGCCTTACGGTTGAAAACAGTCTCTACTTAGGTTTCTTGCAGCTTTTCGTTGCTCCCACTAGTTTTGAAAGGTGTGAGCTCTCCACCACGGCTCCTGAGAAGACATACGCTCCGACTGGAAGAAGTCTTCTGAGTGGGAACATTATGGCTGTTCCACATCCCTCCTTTCTCTTCAACTTCGAGATCAAAACCCCAAGGACGAATGTTCTGTCCATTTCCTTTGTGGTTCTGGCAGGTGATTGACAGGTCACTTGGAAAATGCATACGATGCACGATATTGAAGCCAAATCCCGCTCCTGTACAAGGGCTCCTATAAAGGCTAACCAGACACTACATGCTATAGCGTCTACCTTGCAGTTTCAACATACACCGTGGTGTCGCAGCGCCGGATCGGTTTGCTACGAGTTTTCACCATAGACGATTGCCACGCGAAGTGATCCATTGGATGAGTTAACTGGGTAACCACCTCATCCTGGTAATCAACTCAGTGAATAGATGGTGCGTTTCAGTGAGGTTGTTGTGGCTTTTCAACACCTCAGTCGTTTGTGGAAGTAGGGTCAATGGTGGTCTACCTGTTCATCTGCTCCGGTGGAGCTGGCATTTTGAAAAGTGAATCAAGAACACCTACCAAATTGGCTCATTAACCGAAAGGACCGCACTAATTTGAGTGCCGTAACTAACCACCTGCTCAATGCAGGGCGCCATGCGTACAAGCATACTGCCTTCGAAATTTTAGACAAGGTACCATCTCACTTGAACCATTAGCTAGCAGCAAGGTTGCTGCTACTGCTGAAGTCGTAAGTATAAGATTGACAAGACCCATCCTCTGGATCCAAATGAACGCGCTCACGCGTTGCAACTTACTTGGCCTACAGCTACAAGAGAGACCGATTTGGTCCAACAACGTCACCTGCCTTCTATCACTTGATTAACGGACGTACATCATGAGAACCGTTTGATTTCATCTAGTCAATTTACTTCTATACTGTCCAACGGACTTGATCTGCTTTAGGTATATTTAGTTAATAGGCCCGATAATGAAAAAAAATTAAAAACAATGGTTTGATTCACGCGTTCCGCATGCGCATTTCTCTAATCTGATATGCGATTGTTAGTCAGTTGTAGTGTTTTTTTATCTCCTAGTACGATCAGTGCTACTTTGTAGACCAAGGGTTGCTACTGCTTGCTTGGGCCGTTAAAAAGCTGGTGATCTTGACTGCCAGTGCTTCCACAGCATCTCCATGTCCTGTCATATCTCGGAGCGTTTAGCAGCAGACTCTAGTATTACAACCTATCGTATTTCGCACCTAGATGGTTTAAGTTAAGCAGTTTGCCTCTTGAATGCCTGTTAGCTACTCAATGAACAATGAGCAATGATTTATCACGGGATAAAAGCAATGAACAATGAACAATGAACAATGATTTATCACGAGATAAAAGCAAGTGCTTGACATGTCCCGTAGGATGGTAGCGGTGAATATGATGCGATTAAAATATGTGTAGGTCATCTATCGAACATATGCCGAGATGAATACTTTGATAATTAACATCAGTGTGAAATGAAAAAGAAATATCGCGCGTAAACATTCAGAAAGACACTGGGGCGCAGTGATAGTTGAGGTAAGGAGTGAGAAAATAAAATATGGTCGCTCACTTAGGTCCATTTGATACATTAGTCCTGTTGAAAACATGCTCGGCGTAATCCACAACAGAGGAGCTTAGGTAACAAAATGTTGGGAGCTGAGGGCAACATCTAATCGTTTTTTGAAAACATCCAGGGTAGGAGAGGATACTACTGAGTCTGAGAGTGCGTTCCATGGTTTGCAAACCCGAAGGGAAAAGTAATTCCGTCGACACTCTAGACGGCTATATTGTTCCTTCAACTTTAAGCAGTTACCCTGAGCTGCGTGTTGTGGCTAAGTTTCAGCAAATGGCGGCATATGTGGTTGGGGTCACTCAATATTTGATACGCTAATATGAGATCGCCGCGCAGCCTTCGATAGCGTCCGCTGAAAATTCCCAGCAACTTCAGCCTTCGGTGGTAAGAGTGATAGTGCAGGCCATTTACATTCTTTGTTGCTCTCCGTTGTGGTGCCTCTATCGCTTCTAGGTCACGCTTCAACCAATGTTGCCAAGCTTGGATAGCGTATTCAACATGTGGGCGCACGTAGGAATTGTGCATCATTGCGAAGATTGATGGGTCAAATCTCCCGAATGCTCTTCGCAGCATGCCGACATGCACATCTTTTACTGGAACTGTGCGCCTTTCGAGGAAGCCTTACCTGATTATATGTAAGATTATGGCACGGTTACTCGAAAAGCTTGGTCGGGCTGAGGTGTTCTGTCGTGCAAGAAAGCAGCTCCGGGACCAACGTGGCACAATCCTTAAGCCAATGGCATTTTTGCATTCGGTCTGTTCTTACCTTTCTGTATCTAGTGGTTACAGTTTACATCGCTTACCTCACACCTCTAGGTGTGTTGGCATTTCCCTCCTTTGTTTTCTCAGCTTTTCACTCTTTTTATTATTGTTGCCCTGACAACACATGTTACGGATGGCCGTCTGTTGACATGAGCACTACTGAAGCTGCTATTGTGGCACCTTGGTCATAAACCTGTTTACCGATGTCCCGCTTAAGTATTGATATAGCTTACTTTAACACCTCAGATGGGAACAACCGAAATTCTCTACAATCATCTAGACATTATTAGTACAACTCAACTAATATGGAAAAATAGTGTTATTTGGTATGACCATTTTTAGGTTTTTTGTTCACGGGATTGCCCGGTCATCTATCCGCACCACATATTTTATGCTTGAAACCCGTACTCATTTTGTTGTGGTCGTTCCGAAATCATCATAAGGTATGAAAGCGTCATCCTAGCACACGCGTCTACTGGTACAAATATACTTGCATCGGCCAGCTTGTGCTTTTATGAAAAGTTTGACTAACTTACCGCGCTGTCACTCGATGTTCGTGTGATCCCTCTACAGCGCGTTACTTCCATCGAAGGCACTGTTGTCGTCGGCGTGGGTACCTTGTAAAAGGGGGCGGTTTTGCAAATTTCCATTTCCATCTCCTTCAAACGTGACGTCTGTAGGCCTTGGTGAGAGGTAAGAGTAATCGATAAACTAATTGAGTAGTTTCATGCAGAATGTATGAAGACTTTTAACCGCACTTTATACACAGAAAAGCTGAAGTAGTGCTAATTCGAAGATAATTAGCTTTCTAGCTTCAAAATTTACCAGAAAATCTACGCCTATGTAGCGAAAGCGGAAACGAATCTCAGTGCCACCGAGCAACTGCATTAGTTTTCGAGGGGACTGCTTCAGACTTCAGCCGAGAGACGTCCACTCCTAGCGCGGACTTTCGTACTACCGACGTGAGTCCTATCGTTTCGCAAGCAGTTACTGCGATTTATTGACGACTAAAGTTATCTGTTATATTTTGGCTTTTGGGCGATCGTCTTTACGCCATGTTAAATCTGGTTCCAGGACAATACTGATCCCAGATGACTTAGGAGAATGTGTAAGCTGTATGGTTAACGAACTCGGCACAATGAATATACACTCACTCGGTGACGTGTTGAGTTTGATGATAGGTGCTATCAAGTTCGATGTGCTCCGACGTGGTATGTGTGATTTCATTTCTTGCGCGATTCTGTCCACGAAGGATGTGAAGTCGTCGGTACTCATTTGGCGGGTGGCCAAAGACGAGCTTGGTAACTTGTTGAAATCAAAAGAACACAATATTTTGTTTAACAAATCTCCAGGAAACGACCAGTGAATTTACCCTACCAGCTAACCTCTCCGCTTAGCCTATGTGGTCCATGTAAGCAACGCTAGGTCATGGCAAATAACTTATTCCTTATCCTTACCACCAATGGTCAGATCGCGTCAGTCGATACCTCCAGGAGGTCAGTGAGCTCGAGTATTGCTTGATTCTTGGAAATATGAGCTCCTGATACGATATCTGATAAGATATCATGTTAGGGATATCTATCCACTGCTTTTCTGTATCTGAGTTGGTTGCCTGGTTGAGTTTGGTATTGATGGACTCACATGAATTTCCCCAACTACCCAGTTTCTTCATTCAGTGCAACCTGGCCCTTATTGTCGCACTTAACCGGCAGTGATGCGGTTCATGAGATCATTTTATACAAAATGGCTGAAGGTAGTTTGTATGCAAGTCTAGCGACGTCATGATAGGCAACTGCTGTATACAGCAATGGAGTATCTTCTTACAGAAAACAAATATGGTCCATGATAATAGTTCATGAATTTTTAGAACTAATCGTTTAGAAGTTTGTCCAAGTAAAAATATAGTGAATACAGTAACACTGATATGGCTAGCAGATTCCTATAGTTTTTCACTTTCCTAATTTAGCGCCAGTGGTATGGATATTCTCGGGCCGCAAATTGAGTAATAGCACGTATTTTATGCATCCGGTTAGCTTTTCTTATAGTTTGTACGATTGTATCAAAAATTTAGTTGCGTATCCTGGTAAGGAGTATCTCCAAGGAACCAATGCAACATCTACATAATTTCTGGAATAACCAGAAAGTTGAAAACATCTGTAATAAATCTACAACATGCTTTACTCTAGATGTCTGCAAACACCACCCATCGATCGGGACCTAATCCTACCTCGTTGTACTAAGTGCTGTGTGCGTTGTTATGCGCGTATACACTCATTAAATACCTTCTAGATGTTTGCTACCACAAGAAATAAATTCCGACAGCGGTTGTCAGCAGACTCACCTGCGCCAAGTTTCCTTTCATCCACTCAGCGCACCGGTCCATCACATCCGACCAGAGTCGAAAAGCGTATGACATAGCTGCGAGCAGGCATTTTTCCGAAAACCTGACCAAGAGAGGTAATTGTTGTAGAAGATTAACTCGTAGTGTCTTCTTAGTGTGCTCCAGCTCATCCCGGCGTTCTACTAAATTTATTGTGGCCTGTCGACAAAAGACGAAAAACGACATTCGGGTATTCAGACGCATCCATAACTTGGCAACCTGGTGGCCAATGACATTACCAATGCTTATTGGTGGTAGCGTAAGCGAATAACCTGCATCCCCACTCCCGAGAGAGTCAACTCCATCGATCAATGAATTGCCCTGAATATCTTACTGCTAACGGGAAAAAATAGCGAACGTGCTGGGCTTGCCACACGCACGTATGTTTTCCCGAGATGTATACACAAGCCCTAACAGTTGGTTTTTCTGTCGTTTGGATGCAGGGTGCCCAATATGTTTCTGTGAAAGTCAGCAACATATAAGCAACGTGTATTGAGTGTTAGGGGTGTTCCCTTTGAAGTACAAGTGGTGTGGTTCGATTGTGACACGCATTCTCATTCAAGACCGGAATTCAGTGATCTTGGTCATTTCTGTCTCGCTTCAAAATGACCCCTCCAATTATAGTCATTACTTACGTGAATGGGTGGGGTGTATAACGTTGCAACAAGTCCAGTGTGACTGCATGTGACCGAGACGTGGCCGGTTCACGATGAAGACATTAAACGCTTGACCGTGTTTGATCACCAGTGTCTTTTTGTGTGGAGTATTGTTCACATCTGGTGTGAATACCGAGTGAGCCATGCTGAAGTCCGTCATTTGGTTTTTGACAAGAAGCCTTCTGGTACTTCACGCGTGTGTTTGCTGAATCTCAGCCAATTACTTTAGATGTGTCATGTCTCCTCTGTATGCTCGTTGATCGCCTTCCTCGGTGTGCATTATGCGTCGACGCTGCACCACGGGTGAAACCGCGAGGTGACCAGTCTATGGCTTGACAGAAACATATAAAGAAACTGACTTGATCAGGCTGATGACTACCGCCTTTGTAGGTGGGGGCTTCGGGTTGGTCCACACCAATGTTTGAAGACCGTATCAAACATGGTGCAGTCACGCAGCCAGTGGCGTGCCTGCTTTCGGTTTCTTACATCTAGCTGTTAATTTCACACTTCTTGCTTGATTCCATTTACTTTGCTATTTTCATTCAACCTCAGTTTCTTACCATCGTTCTTCTGGCGATGTGAGTCGTGGCAACTGGAATCATCACATTTAAGTGCCTGTTCAACTGAACTGAACTGTGAGAAGCATTAATCACTGTGGTTCGGTGGCCTAGGGGTAGAACTTCTGACTGAAATCCTAAAGGTTCCGAGTTCGAGTCATAGTCTCGCTATCTCGACCTGACATTTTACACCTTATTGTACACATTAGAGGTGGAAAACAAATCAGCTATTGTGCCGCAATACAAAGGACAAAAAGGTACATACAAGAGAGACACGCCGGCTGAGCCACCACTAACTGATGGGCGTCGTCCCGGAGAACTACAACTACTATTGTGCCGCAAAAAATAGTTACACTATGCCTAGGAAAGAAGACCGTGTTTGGAGGGGGCGGTTAAACGGGAGTGCGAGGGATAAAGAAAATCACAAGAAAAATACCACAGGTCGACTTCTTGCCATATCAACAAGTGTATCCAGACAAACGTGTTCATCGTTTTTCGGACCCCAGCCAAGTAATCTAGAGATTCCCTGACCGGTACGAATGAGTAAACTACTGGTCTTGGGACGCTGTGCTACGAGCAGACATCTAGTATCTATCTGTAACGTGCGTTGGGTTTTGCCTTTTGTGTAAATCAATAATACTACAAACTTCGGATTCCAAGAAGTATTCAGAATTAGGGCAAGCACAATTCAGTGCTATCAAGACTCACAGATGAATAATAAAAGGGAAAGGCGCCAATATTAATTTTGATTGTAGAATATGATATACCCGTGTCACTGGAATCCTGTCGAAGCCGGGATGTGTAGCCTCAAAGCACCCGTTGACGATACGAATTCAAATTACTCTCTGGCAAAAAATCGTTTCGGTACCGAACTCACTTTGATGTACTAGGCTAAGAAGCATTAAGGCACACGATTCACCTTGAGGTCATGCACGATTTGTGCAGTAGAAGGATGGATCGTACTCATTGTATCACGCAATGTATAACATGATTCTGGTGCCGTCCAAATTGTCCCATCACTTATGTATACATATTAAAATAGTAGAGTTGTGGTTTGTTCATTCTGGCCCTACCGTTCATGCTTGGTGTCTGTATGTACATACGTCTATGACAACTTTCTGTTCGACTGGCACTCCAACTAGCTTCAAGGTTCACGCCACGTAAACTCTCAACTCAATTTCACTGTTACAGGCCACTCTGATATCCTTACGATTGTGTGTCCACATTAGAAGTTCGGTTTAGGTGTCATTCAGCAGTTGTGATTAGGATACATATGCTTCAACTAGTAATTCTTTAAAAGTAACTAACAGTCACTTACTTGGTTTTTCGACTCAGCCTGACGTAGTTGTGCTGTTGCGGCATTCAACTCCTTTTCGGTCTTCTCAAATTCATTAATCAACAATTCTGGGTCATTCATTAGTTCAAGCAGTTCATCTAGCCTCCGAAGCACATTCTTTTTCAGCTTCACTTCCTGTATAATGGGAGAAATATGTTGTTATTTGTTCAGAAAAGATTACATCCATCACTTAATGATAGCCGGTAAACACTTTTCACCTCCAATACACATTCCCCCATCAATCCAATGCACCTTATTTTATGCATATGCTTACGTTATAAGAGCAGTACTTACGTCTTCCTTTCTCTTGAATTCTGCGAAGTGATGGTGGATAAAAGGACTTCCCTCGGATATATCAGAACTCCATCTGAAACTAATCAGTTATTTGTAGATGGTTTTCGCCATGGTCTCCTATCAGTCAGGCAGGCTTTCACATGTATGGAAAGCACAGACAGCCGTTTCGACCTACTGAGTCTCGTCAGTAGTGCGCGATCTTCTGACCCCACCGGGGGTCCGACTCGATAACTTCCGGGTACCAGCAGTTTGTGCCATCAAGCCATGGGTGTCGGCGGCGGGCTTGCACGACTGAGAGTTGAGTACGATATAGCGCAACTCATCCATCATCGCCATGACGATTCCAAAATGTGCTGAAGACAGTGGTTAATTTCAGAGCTACGACGCATTAGTAAACAGTCATTCGCAAAATTGTTACTTAATCTTTATATTCTGGAGTAAAATTGTAATGATTTTTGATTTGTATTAACAAAGGAATCTCACATATGTAATTTTGTGTTCACCATGGAAACAGTTCCTGATTCAAACATTTACAAAAGATGCAGCCAGAAATGTTCCATTACGATAGTTCTTTTGCTTCGACTACGTATTCTGCTACACTGTTCCAATCACGCGCCACTCGCCACTCGAATCACAGGGAGTAAGCGATCTATTGCAGCCCCCGCACTACCAACCAGTGTGGTTTCCGCCTGTGGTGCATGATGTGCGTAAATGGAGTAGCAGTCTCAGTATGGTTAAGTCACTAAGAATTGCAATGTTGCAGGCCATGATGTGACCAACTCCTAACATATTGTGTGGTCCTGGTCTCTCTAACCGGTCTTCACATGTTTTTAACAGCATTCGCAAAGTGGAGCACAATATTCTCGCACTTAACACGACAGCTGAATTCACACAGAACGCTGAAGAAGCGGCTAATGTGTTACGGGTGCAGTACACCCGGCCTACCAACGAGAGGTTCCACCTCAATCGCCCCGATTTCAACAAATACTCACAGCTTGTTTACCGGCATACGTGTTTTGAGGAAAGCACAGTGCATACTTAAAGTTATCCCGGAATAGCTGGCATTCACCCGAGGACGCTGCACATAACAGTAACAACGCTGGTTGAACCATTAACGCAGTTCTTCCAAACGTGCTTGGATAAGCAAATGGTGGTTGCATGTAGAAAAATATACTAATCACGACAATTTTTAATGGTGGCAGTCGGTGGAAACTGCAAACTATCATCCAGTGGTTTTTTCCCGTACTCACAAAAGTGAAGTAGCCACTCGTTGCTCAGTCTTTAGTCAACCATCTAGAACGCTACAACGTCAAAGCACCTGAGAAGCACGGCTTCCGTCAACACCGCCCATGCACAACCAACCTACTGTGTGCATTAAGTAGCAGGGAGGAAGTGGTCGACAAAGGGGCAAGGACCGATGTCATTTATCTCGAGTTTGCATTCGGCCTCAAAGGCTTGAAATTTACAGGATTACGGTACCATTTCCTTGGATGGATCAGCAATCTGCAGATTTGGCAACTTCAGGTTAGAGTCCGAAGTGCGCTTTTCGAGCGGATTCATCTTTGTGTGGAGTTCCCTTATGTCCGGGAGAAATTAAGTTTCCCGGAAAATCCATTATTCCAATGATAATCGATTGTTAACGATTATCGCATTGATTACGAAAGTTCTGGAATTTTCTAAGACCAACATGTGACTAACAACCTTCCTGAAGCTCGGCCAAATCTATGGGGAACAACTGACCTTTGTGCCTGACCTTCTAATTCTAGAACTCGAAGGTCATGAAGCAACCTATAAATAGGACCATGGTCTGCCGCCTTTGTACAGCTCCCGTTTGACTGCGGTTAACATGTCATTTTGGTCAAGGTCGTTCTGACTATTCATTTTGCTTGGTTTTATGCTTGTGCGTGATAGATTAAGTGCGTGTTTCGGAATTGCAGCAAGTAAGTAGATTTAACACCTTGGTGGTCAACGAACCTACGCGCCTGCTAGGCTCGGAATTCTTCTTTTGCTGATGAGATTAATATGTGGCGGATGATCAACAACCCATGAGACCTTGACGCACCTCAACGAGACCTGGACAGCGCGCATGAGTGTTCATCCCAGAATCTGCTTCAGTTTAATTTGTCCACATATAAGCTATTCCGTATTCATCATTCGAACCTCATCAGCAATCTTGGAGACTGCGTCTGGCAAACAGTTGACCAGGAGCGCAACCTCGCGGTACCAACTCAGGCCGATTTCCATTGCTCAGCACAAGCTGAGAAAGGGTCAAAAATGAGGAACCAACGCTTTGATATCCTGCTAAGGGCATTAAAATGGTTTAATCCCTCTGTCAACCCGCAGATGATTAACACATACGTGCAGCCTGATGTGGAAAACGTAATCAGGCCTGGTAGCGCTGGAACAAACAAGATCTCGTAGCGCTCGAGACTGCACGGCGAAAAGAAACCACTTTCCATATCAACTTAGGCTGCGAACTCTAAGTGTATGCAACAGTCAGTATCGGTGCCTACGTGAGGACCTACTGATGACGTACCAGCTTCTGAGGAACCCCAACCAAGTCTGCCGCCACGTAATGCAACTTTGCAACAACACAAACTTGATGTGCCAACAGTTTAAGTTGGCCACGCGATGCAATCGGTTAGAATGTTGCTGAAATGTCTATTACCTCCATGTGGGTCAGCCTTGGAACGCCTGCTATAAGTACGTTATTCCGGCCCCACCATATGTTTTAAAAATGCCTTGACGTTGCCCTCATCCACCTAAATTACGGAACATAGCTTGTAAACATCGAGATACGAGATAACATAGCAAACGGTGCACTAAAAAGCGTTACCCTACACGATCGAAATAGGCTCTTTTACGCCTACATCAATATAAGTACTGTTGTGCATCAAAACGCTTTTCATTTTCTTAATGAATTTTCCTTTTCACTATTTTTATGATTTTCATTCTGATCACCTCATGGGACTTAGTAAACATTTGCTTTTTACCCACAATACACCATCGTTCCATTGATAAGCTCTGTAAACTAAGGATGGGCCCAATAATGACACTTTGGGCCCTTCCGATCTTTCGCACCTCGCCTAGGGTGATGGAGCAGAAACAAGTTGCAACCTCCCTAGACCAATTGTGGAAGGTGTGTTCGAGCGTCTTAATATGTGCGTTCAGTTATGATATATGGACTGTTTGCGTTATCTTCAAATCGCAATGCGAGAGTACGTCTAGGTCATTGATAGGTGTTGGACGTAGCAGTTTTCAGTAGAGAGTGTAGATATGACCGCCAGCACCCTTCCCCATGTTAATGAATAGCAACTTCTTTGGGCTAACCGGGAGGCGAACCTCTGCAAACCTCATGAAGAGATGGTCGCGATTTTGCATACTAGGGTTGAAGCCTTCGGTAGGATTAATCATTCTCCGCCTGTTTCGTTCGTCTGCAGACAAGGCACTCGGCGACCGCAGGAGTTAAGGCGGGTAGTTGATGCGGCTCAGAACCAAGTTGGGTCCTAACACTATGCCTTAGAGTACGTCATTGGTAGGGATACCAGTGCGTCTGGTGACCACTGATCTGTGCCACCCACCTTCTTCCAACAAAAACCTCGCGGATCCACTAGTGCAATGGGCCCCCAGAGTCACATGTGTATGCTGAATTACTTTAGTCTACAACATTCACGGCCTCGATAGTTTCTAAGGACTATCATCCTGATAATAGTGCACAAGGGATATTGTTCAAACTAGTGCCCATGCAGCATGACGACTCTGCCCACCCTCTCAATCAAATTGTGAATATTGTTGCTGTCCTAGCCTCTAGGAGCTTATTCTAAACCGGTGATTGTCCATACATTCAATAAAGTGGTCCCATTATTAGGGATGGTAGCGATCCCATACTTCTTTGTTGTGAGGATTAGCTTGGGAGCAAGACTCCGTTAAACATAAGGATTAAATCGATGGTCTTCACTCATTCCGACCACTTACAACGCATTTTGTCAGTATCGTCTACATCAACAGCGCTGTCGTTGATTAGCGACATTAGTCCATTTGGTACATCTGTGATCGGTAATGAGTAGTAGCTAAGTCCTTAGGCTCTCTATGCTAAAAGAAAATAGAAGGACAATCAGCCCTGAAAGACTATGTCTCGTAATTAAAAAAGAGTATTGGCCGTTTCCATTGCAGTCTCTTCTTCTTCGGATACCACGAGTTTCAAGAGCGTTGTGCGTTGTATGTTCGGTGTTTCTTAACTTATTGATAGAGCATATGGTTAACGTGTACTTTCGGTGCTGAATGTAATCTCCCGGATCAGTTTAAGGCAATGATTACGCCAAGCCAGGTAGACGTCCCAATCCTTTGGGGGGTTGCGCGACTTCGCAGATCATCACAGAGACTGTCATAGCAATGTACGTCTACATCGTACTCCTAAGGAAACCTTTTACCTCACTCACGCCGAATACTCGGCTAGATAGTTTATTGCCATTGGCCCCCCTCAAGTTATTTCAAGGACTTGAATGTTGGGTTTTGGACTATGCGCCGTGTGTCTTGGATTGCGACAAGCAATCTAAATTGCGGCCACGGTTGATTTTGAAGTCAGCCTCTACCATTCCGAGTACTAGGACCGTCACCGAACTGGTGGGCTTCGATGTTGCTCTCCCATCACCGCGTAACACAACCGACCGGTTTCATCCTGATTCTGGCTCCTCAGGATGAGATAGCGTAATCTATGAGTAGAACACGGTACATAGTGGTTGGCACCTACCGCTGTCAACCGAGGCCATAATTGAGAGTGCGTGTCACAATCCAAGGCACACTGCAGGTTCTCCAAAACCTGCGGAGCTCAACAACCTAAT